TCAGTGCACACACCAGACCCCAGCCTGCGCCCTGTCAGTGCACACACCAGACCCCAGCCTGCGCCCTGTCAGTGCACACACCAGACCCCAGCCTGTGCCCTGTCAGTACACCCACCACACCCCAGCCTGCGCCCTGTCAGTACGCACACCAGACCCCATCCTGCACCCTGTCAGTACACACACCAGACCCCAGCCTGCACCCTGTCAGTACACACACCAGACCCCAGCCTGCGCCCTGTCAGTGCACACACCAGACCCCATCCTGCAACCTGTCAGTACACACACGAGACCCCAGCCTGCGCCCTGTCAGTGCACACACCAGACCCCAGCCTGCGCCCTGTCCTCAGTACACACACCAGACCCCAGCCTGGGCCCTGTCAGTGCACACACCAGACCCCAGCCTGTGCCCTGTCCTCAGTACACACACCAGACCCCAGCCTGCACCCTGTCAGTGCACACACCAAATCCCAGCCTGAGCCCTTCAGGACACACACCAGACCCCAGCCTGCACCCTGTCCTCAGTACACACACCAGACCCCAGCCTGTGCCCTGTCAGTGCACACACCAGACTCCAGCCTCCACCCTGTTAGTGTACACACTAGACCCCAGCCTGCGCCCTGTCCTCAGTGCTCACACCAGGCCCCAGCCTGGGCCCTGTCCTCGGGACCTAAGACTGGGCCAGGTTATGAGCAGAATTCTTCGTGGTTCTTCGTGACCTACCTTCAGATCCACTGGGAGATCCAAAGCCCATCCAGCCAGCGCTGCACAGGAGGCTTCCTGGTGCTTGAAATGGGGGTGGTCCGGCGGGCTTCCAGTTCTGAGGGACCCCGCTTCTAGACATATCGTGTATCAAAGCGGGAATGCTCTGCACTTTTCCTTTTGGTTTTCCATAGATGAGGAATACTTGCATGGGTTTGCTCTATGAATCTTAGGCTTTGACGTTATTTGATTACTGATCACTTGCAGTTTTATTGCAGTTTGCATGGCTGTGACTTTTTATCGTGAAAATCATGAGCACAGCACTGTTTGGTGTGCGGCTCGGGGTTGATGTTTGTACCGCCCCAGAACTGAATTCCACCCAACAGGGTCTGTGCTTCTCCACGCATCCCCTCCACTCTGTCTCCTTGATACTTGTCAGTTTGTGCCTGGCTCATTCGCTTTTCATAATGGTGGCAGGCTCATCCAAACAATCTTCTAAGTAATCTAAAAGCAGACCACCTTCCGGCACGGCACACACCCTGCTTTGTTTTCCATCCGCTCTTGGACACTTGGGTTGCTCCTGAGTGTTAGCCGTTGTGAAGAAGGGTGCTGTCAGCAGGCGTCCAGTCCTGGGGTCTGCGCTGGGCCTCCAGGACTGGCCACACCCCTCGCCTGCCCTGTTCTTGCCGGACCGACCGGTGAACAGGACTGGTGGAGTGCCCGGCTCCCGTTTGTGATTTTAATCATGTGGGTCGTCTCTTTTTTTCAGTCAATTTAGCTAAGTTTGGGTTTTGTTGGATTTTTTTCAAAGAATCAGCTTGTAGGTTTGTCGGTCTAATCCATTATATTCCATTTTCTATTTGTTTATCCCTACTCTGGTCTGTATTTTCAGCTAGCTTTGTTTAATATGTTCTTCATTTCCTAGTTAGTTCTTGAAGTGGTAAAGTTAGGTTGGTGACTTGAGATCGCTCTTAGATTGTCTTTCCTTTTGTTGGTTTGCTTTTGGGATGTTCCAGGGGCTTGTACTCAGGGCCTGGGCGCTGTCCCTGAGCCTCTTTGTGCTCAAGGCTAGCGCTCTATCACTAGAGCCACAGTGCCACTTCCAGCTGTTTCTAAGTGGATAACTGGAGTCTCACGAACTTTCCCACCCAGGCTGACTTTGAGCCTCAAACCTCAGATTTCAGCCTCCTGAGTAGCTAGGCTGACAGGCGTGAGCACCAGCGCCTCTCTCTCTTGGGTTTTGTTTTTGGAGTGCCGTGCTGGGACTGGGCTGGACTGCTCTCGGCCTCCCTGATCATGGTTGGCACTCTACCCTTTGGCCACAGCCACAGACCCACTTTTTGCTGATTGATTGCAGACAGAATCTCACGGAATCTCCCACGTGGGCCGGCTTTGGTTTGCACCACAGTCTTCCAGGTCTTAAAGCCTCTTGAGCTAGACTACAGGAGTGAGCCACAGGCCTGGCCCTGTAAGGAGCTGCCTTGGCCTTGGCTCCAGGCGATTTGGTGTTCCCTATGGGCTTCTCTGTCCCTCCTCCCTTCCCTGGCCCTCCTCCCTCCCTTGTCCCTCCTCCCTCCTCCCTTCCCTGGCCCTCCTCCCTCCCCTGGCCCTCCTCCCTTCCCTGGCCCTCCTCCCTCCCTTGTCCCTCCTCCCTCCTCTGTCCCTCCTCCCTTCCCTGGCCCTCCTCCCTTCCCTGGCCCTCCTCCCTTCCCTGGCCCTCCTCCATTCTCTGGCCCTATCACAGTCCCTCTCTCCTGAGCTGTAGGATGACCCCTTATTTGCTGCCTTACTCCAACAGTCCCTGATTTTCAGTGTAAACATTCCCTGACTGTTCTCTTTTTTACCTGAAATCGTTTAAAAGCCTGAAATGTGAGCGACACTTTTCTTGCTGCAGTGGCTTTCCAGAGATCCAGGCTGGGGTGAATTCTCCAGGGCCAGGGCCAGCCATGCTGGACGTGTCCCTCACCGGCCAGCACTGCCTCTTCTCCATGTCGCCCACCCAGGAGGGGCCACCCTCAGCCCCTGGGGCTGAGCGCTCAGGGACGCCTGGCTGGCACTGGCCTCGGTCAGCTCTGGCGGTGCCCGTTGGGGTGGACCAGGGGGAGCATGGAGGGTCCCGGTCACGCTCAGGGGCCGGGGCTGCTCTTAGGGAGGTGAGCGTCTCCGCCACCTCATGCAGCCGCTTCCTTTGTTCCCACCCCTCTGGAATGGGTCAGTATGTCTGGGCTACAGGGCCGACGGTTCCACTCCGATCCAGAACCCTGCTGCCCAGATGACCAGCAGGGGTGGCAGGGACTCGCCGCGAGGTGTGGGCCACAGGCTCCGGCTGTGCCAGAAGGACGGTGGACAGTGGTCCCCTTCTGCGGACGTCCCCTTCCTTCTGCGGACCGGCCGTGTGGCTGGCCGTGCAGGGTACACAGAGGAAGCCCCCAAGCACCCCTCTTCCCTTGTAGCCCGTCAGGGCACGTGACGGCAGCCACGATGTGCTGGGGGCCCCTCTCCGTGCTCCTGCTCTGGGGGCTCCTGGGGACGCTCCACGGCCAGCAGCAGGAGGTCATCTCACCCGACACCACCGTCGAGAGGAACAACAACTGCCCAGGTACCCAGTGGGACCCCAGGGCTCCGGCGGGCACAGGGCAGCCACGGGCTGGCCGGCCGGGCCTTAACAGGCCCCATGTCCCCCCCAGAGAAGGCCGACTGCCCCGTCAATGTGTACTTCGTGCTGGACACATCGGAGAGTGTGACCATGCAGCTGCCCACCGACAGCCTGCTCCACCACATGCAGCAGTTCGTGCCCCAGTTCATCAGCCAGCTGCAGAATGAGTTCTACCTGGACCAGGTGGCCCTGAGCTGGCGCTACGGCGGCCTGCACTTCTCCGACCAGGTGGAGGTGTTCAGCCCCCCGGGCAGCGACCGGGCCTCCTTCACCAAGAGCCTGCAGGGCATCCGCTCCTTCCGCAGGGGCACCTTCACCGACTGCGCGCTGGCCAACATGACGCAGGAGATCCGGAGGCACGGCGGGGCCCGCGGCGCCGTCAACTTCGCCGTGGTGGTCACCGACGGCCACGTCACCGGCAGCCCCTGCGGGGGCATCAAGCTGCAGGCCGAGCGCGCCCGTGAGGAGGGTATCCGGCTCTTTGCCGTGGCCCCCAACCGGAACCTGAATGAACAGGGCCTGAGAGACATCGCCAGCACCCCGCACGAACTCTACCGCAGCAACTACGCCACCATGCGGTCCGATTCCCCCGAAATCGACCAGGACACCATCAACCGCATCATCAAGGTCATGGTGAGCAGCCATGGGGCCACGCCCCTCCCTGGCTGCGGTCGGGCCAGTTACCCATCCAGGAAGAGCCATGCGGGCGGGGGGCCAGTTACCCATCCAGGAAGAGCCATGCGGGCGGGGACCCCTGTCTGCGACCTCTGGCCCTGGCCCAGGGTGGCGCACGGGTCCCAAGGCTCTTCTAACCGGAGTCTCTGTCTGTTTGTCTTTTACAGAAGCACGAGGCCTATGGGGAGGTGAGCGGCACTTCCACTCCGGAGGGCTCTGCTGCCCTCTGGCCCCCGCACCCACCGACCGCTCAGGGGCCCAGGCTGCAGCCCGGGGCCTGGAGGCTGGGGCAGAGCAGAGGGAGAGCTCTCCACCTGCTCCACGTCGTTCCCAAGGCCGGATGGGGTCTCCCGGCCACGGCCCCGGTGACCCGTCCCTAGGGGTCTGCATTAGGTCATAGGGCAGAGTGGAAGGGCTGAGGGTCAGTCCCAGGTGGGCGGTGCGCAAGTGACCTGCGCCAGCCAGCTCAGGAAGAAGCAGGTGGCTGTGCGCAGCTCAAGCCACGGTGACACCTGTGTCTGTGTGAGGAAGGGGGCAGGCGGTGCTACACGCCACATGCCACACCCCGCAGCCCCCTGTACACGGGCGGTGCCACGCCACACCACACCCCACACACCACACACCACAGCCCCCCTGTACACGGGCGGTGCCACACCCCACCCCACACCCCACACACCACAGCCCCCCTGTACACGGGCGG